TCCTACTACACAAACCCATTCAGCCTGTGTCCACCTAACTAAGGAAGGCCAGGATCCAGTCCCCAAACGGGTAGCACAGGAAGGGTGCAATAACACTCCCCCATAATGAGGAGGTAGCCATGTTTCCTTAAGAAAAGCGTAGTCCTCCTTTTCCCTCCCATATTTTATGAATGGTGATTTATCTTGTTACAACAGCTGTCCTTCCATATTAATTCATTCCAAGCCCTTGCACTGAAATGTACCACGATTAAGATTCTAAGAGTAACACAGCACTAATAAGTTTAGAAATTTGCTCTTATCTTAATGAAAAACATGGTCTCTCCAAATAAGCCAAGTCAGAAGGGAGAAACACTCTTACTGGGCTGCATTATACTCACAGCCGAAAACCGAACCAAAGTACTGCAGATGAAAGGGACACGTACTGAAGGGCATTCCATTACAATACACACGTCAGGGGAACACACCTCAGTGAAGCACCTCTCCAACACAAGTTTCCATTGACAATTAAAAAAATCTTTCGGCCAAGTATTTTTCTAGACATAGCCTTAGTTTTAAAAATTAGCAAAAAGCTGCCACTTTTTATTGGTGCTCAAGTAGCAATTAACTTGGATGGGTACCCAAAGGCTAAGAACACTAAGCTGAAATCACTCTGCCAGCCAATCTCCAGGAAGGATGCTCAGGATCCTGTTCTGCCCAACTGTGAGGCTTACAACAAAGCAACCACTGACATATTTGAACTAAGAACGGGGTCAACGCCGAGAAGCAAAGTCAAATCAAAACCTAAATGTGAAATTACACAGGCATCGAAGATACTTACTCCACTCACATTTCTGCTAAATCTGCTTTATAATCCTCACTGTAGATTTTAAGGAGACAAAAAGGGGGAGGATCTTAATTAGAGCACTGGAGATCGGCTCTCGAACAGGACTGACTTTCCAAATAATTTTTCACATTACACTTCACCCTTCCAAACCTCAAATGGACAAGCAATCATGTGGGCAAGGATTTGTCAGAACAGTTTATTAACATCCAGAGGCCTGTCCAGCAAAAGCATATGATTCAGTGAGAGATTATCAGATAAGTCAAAGGACAGTCACCTCCACACTGCAATTACCTATTTCGTCCCTGCAAAGCCAATTAGCAAAATACATACAAAATGTAGAGCTAATGGGACTGTGCATTCGGCCAGCTATTTCAGGTAGTTCATAGAACTTCTATTTCTAAAAAGACTACTTTTCAGGGGATATTTCAAATTTAAGCAAATTATTACAGAAAAGGAAGGGTCTTAAAAATACTAAGAGCTAAATTTAGATTGCTGAGTATGTTCTGTGTTCCGCGAAAAGTATACAAATGATACACGTATTTGACAATGTTGAAATAGATAACCCACTACAAAAACTTGGTTGTATTACCCAACCAATGCTATAGTTTGTGTTTTTTCCCTCCCAAAGCCCAGTACATAGTTGTATATCCTAGTTGTAAGTCCTTCTAGTTCTTCTATGGGCGATGCCACCACAGCATGGCTTGATGAGCGGTGTGCAGGTCTGCGCCCAGGACCTGAACCAGTAAACCCTGGGCCACCAATGCGGAGTGTGCGAACTTAATCGCCAGGCCACTGGGGCAGCCCCAATGCCATAGTTTTAAGTCAAGTCAAAGGCAAGAAGCAAACGGACAAATAAGCCGATTCTTGGTCTCCACAGCCAAGGGAGTCCTGTACAGGCCGCTTTCAATTAGCCTAATATTAAATACATCACTAGAAGAGAAAAGAGCACAGCAGACAGAGGCAATGAGCAGAGACTGAAGTTCTAGAAAGATGCCAATAAACCTGACCTGAGCCAGGCCAACTCCATTTCACACTGAGCTTTAGGGCTGTGTCCTATGGGATCCCCACTGGTGTTCCTGAACTGCCTCTGCTTTCCTTCCTCAGACAGGCACCTCTCCACACTTCCAAGCTGCCCCAGAAATTAGTTAGACAAACCCAAATGAAAAATCAGCATACCTAATTTTAGTATTTCTAGCGCACCAAACATGTTGACTTTTGCAGAAGGAATTCACTACAATTCCAATTGGCGTGCCAGAAATCTCTAGAATAACTTGGGCTGGTAATTCTACTGCCAGAAATACATCTTGTAATGTATACCAGGGTAAATATTATTATATCACTTTTATTCAATTTCAAAAGCATATAAACATAAATCTATTGTATGCTATTTATTTTTCCTCTGTAAAGCAAGGACTATAGAATAGGTGACCCAGAAATTTCCAACTTTCCTCTCTCTTTTAAATCTCAATATTTATACAAATGCATAACAGTTTTTATACACCTACCAACCCCACTGCACACCACCCACGCTCATCTCCTGGCCTGCCACTAAGTTACCCCTGGAAAAGTCTGGCACCGCCACTCAGCTTGAAAATTACTTTAGCTCTATTTCAGGATACTGCTTTGTTTGGCTGGTTGGTTATTTGTTTTTCTTGATAGTCAGAATATTTCAATCTCTTAAATTTATAGGCGAAAAATACCAGTCTCTAAATGAGTCTTTAAAATGCAACGATAAAAATACTCTTTTCATTTAAAAGAAAACACTCAAAAGACAGCGTTCACATAAGTCAAGTCATGAAGGGAATGTAAATTAAGATTTTGGTTCTATACTCGTGCTGCATAGCAATGTCTCAGTCGAGACAAATGGCATGTACAACGGTGGTCCCATAAGATTAGTACCATATAGCCTGGGTGTGCAGTAGGCTACACCATCTAGGTTTGTGTACGTACACTCTCTGATGTTCACACAATGACAAAATCGCCTAACGATGCATTTCTCAGAATGTTGTCTCTGTCGTTACGCGAGGAGCGACTACATTTTCTGTCTCAAGTTTAACTTGTAATAGTTCTTTCATAGGCTTTCACAGCCCATGTTAGGGAAGAAAAAAAAGTAGGAATAATTGTCCTTAGGAAATTCACAAAAATACTTCATAGTTTCAGCTTCAGTTCTTAAGTTTTGGGTATTTTTCTGTGTTGACACCATACCCGAAAATTCTAATTCATATTAGAGAGTATGACCAAAAAATATATATATATTCTACCCTTCAGATGAGTTATTACTAAGTGCTGTTGGTTATTCTATTTTCTCTTGAATTAAACTATTACGAGTATTTTGATGGGTGGTATATAATTTGTAGATTATCTAACACACGCTAGTGGTATATAATTCTTTAGAAAAAGAATCCCTTGAATAAACAAAACTGCATTAAAAATATGACAGCCTCTAAAATAACTTATTTCCAGGACAATAATTATATTTTTCATCTGCTATAAACCTATCAGCTGTGGGAGTGGGTAAGTGGGGGGGGTAGCAACTGAAGAATTTATTTGTAGCATTACTGAATATAAACTTAACTGTAACTTAAGTTTGAAGTATCAATATTAAGTTTTAACAGAGTAAGAAAAACATCCTTTGAGAAGGGACATTCACAAAAGAAACACCAAGGAGATTAATAACAAACTGAACTCTCTCCATGGCTGACTGGTGTTGTCATTAGCCAATTTCCTTCTATCTCAACCACCATTCTCAGAGGAAAGGACATTCCAAGTCAAAATAATCATTAATTTACTCATTCATTCTTTTTAAAGTTTAATGAGCAACTTCTACGTGCCAGGTACTTTTTGCTGAGGGCTGGGGACAGAAAATGCACGAGCTAAAAGCCTGTCTGCCCTTCAAGGCTGTCTGCAGCTGAATTGGGTCCCCCTAAATTTGTGTTGAAGCCCTAACCCCCAGTGCCTCAGAATGTGACTGTTGCTCAAGAAAGGGCTTTAAAAGAGATAAATAAGTTAAAATGAGGTCATTAGGGTGACCCCTAATGCAATATAACTGGTGTCCTCCTAAGATGAGCTTAGGACACATACATACAGAAGGAAGATCATGTGAAGACACAGGGAGAAGTCAGCCATCTACAAGCCAAGGAGAGAAGCCTCAGAAGAAATCAACCCTGCCAACACCTTGATCTTGGACTTCTGGCCTCCAGAATGGCGAGAAAATAAATTTCTGTTGTTTAAACCATTCAGTCTGTGCTACTTGTTATGACAAAACCCTAACAAACTAATACAAGGGCTCACATTTCATCTGGGGAGACTGACTTGAAACTGTAACATCTGGGAAAAGCAGCTAAATTAGAGATTTGTACAAGCGCCAAACGATAGACTGCAGCGTGAGTTGGCCATCTCAGATGTTCCGGCTTTAGGACCTTATCCTAGGTGGAAGAATATCGTAAGAAAGCATTGCTACCATTTCCGAAAGACATAAATAGATCTAATACATGCTAGGGAGCTTTCCCATGTGATTTCACTTTATCATCACATAAATCTTGTAGTGATTTTGAGGGTACCCATCTTCTAGATGAAGAAAGTCTATTAATAGATTAACTTGCTCAAGATCACTCAATAAATTATGGAAAGAGCCAGAATTCCGAGCCAGGTTTTCTTAATGCAACATTCCACTGCCCTACTCTGCCTCTCAAAACCTGGAGGAGGGACCACAGCAGATCACATCATAGAGTTAGGCAGAGTCTTCTCTCTGTGCACGGTGTAATTCTGCAGGTGTGCAATAATCTCTGCATGACATGCCAGGTGGTGGCAGTGGTCCTTCTAAGTGTCAGTCTGCAAACGTACTAGCTGGAGAAACTCAGAAGGGCTTCACAAAGTTACAGCAAAACCACAGAGATGCTTCTGATAACAGAGGCACAAACTTAGAGATCAGTATCAGTGGTAACGATTTCAATTTTTCCAGTTTTTACTCATTATGCCGTTGGGTTCCTTTCCTTCCATCTTCATGGCTTACTACCATCAAGACACCTGCACCAGGATAAAGAGTATGCATATGCACTTTTATACTGAGCCCTAAGAGAGACCAATGGGCAAGTGTGAAGGAGCTAGCACAGGGCAGATGTTTACATCGGAAAAAACGAGAGGGGCAATCAAACCAGAGTGATAAGAGCAGATTTACCTGTTTCTTCATCTATTTTGAAAACACCAACACCAGAACCATCTCTAATGGAATAGCGGATCTCCCCGTCTCTTCCTGTGTCCTCATCATGAGCTGATACTGCCATTACTGATGAACCAATAGGGACGTCTTCCTTCACTACACCCTTTTCCACAAAGCTGGAAAACACCGGCGGGTGTAAGTTCTCATTCACATCAATGACCTCAACCTCAACATAACAGGTGGAAGACAGAGAAATCGGCTTCCCCTTGTCCTTGGCCCTCACGGTGAGATTATATACTTGCTTCTTCTCAAAGTCCAACTGCTGCACAATTCTAACCGCTCCGCTGAGCTTATCCACATCAAAGTTTCCTTCTCCGTGGTCCAGAAGACTATATCTCACTTGACTAGACTGACCTAAATCAGGATCATAGGCCTCTAACCACATGATTATGGTTCCTTCTGGAAGGTCCTCCCGAACTTTCACACGATAATTAGGTGGAATGAACTTGGGTGGGTTGTCATTAACATCCTCTAATGATACTTTCAGAAGTACAGTGGAAAGCAACTGAGGTTCTTCGCTGGCCTGATCCCTGGCTTCAATCTTTAAGTAATGCACATGCTGTAGCTCACGATCCAGAGGATCCACAATTTTAACAACACCGGTCATGCTGTCAATTGAAAATTTATCTGTGTCTGTAAGAATGGAGTATGTCACACGTCCGTTTGGCCCTAGATCTTTATCTGTGGCTTCGACCTGGATGATTTCACTATTGATCTCTTTGTCTTCACTCACTTCAACAAAATAGCGCTCCTGTAAAAACTCAGGTGGATTATCATTGGCATCCAAAACTCTGATATCTAGAAGATGCCAAGCGGCCTTCTGTGGTATGCCAAGGTCCGAGACTGAAATATTCAGGGTATATTTGTCCGTTGTTTCACGGTCAAGTGGAGATAAGATTTTTAACATTCCAGTTTCCATGTCAATAATGAAGCAACTATCCTCATTTCCTCCAGAAATTGCATAGACCAGTTTTCCATTGAAACCAGTGTCAAGGTCAGTAGCATTCATGGAAATTATGTTGGAACCCACAGGATGGTTTTCCTTTACCTCGATCCCAGTGGGAAGAGTATTTCTAAATTGTGGGGCATGAGCATTGACAGAATGAGAATCAAAGAAAATATCCTCGACCTCTCCCTGACTATGTAATTTATTTGCCTGCAGGAGTTTCTCGGCCAGCATTTTGGCAACGCCAGTCTCTTCGCACTGCAAGTTTACCGGCTTGCGACTGGCAGCCACGGTTATGTTGATGTATAATGGTGTGGCAAAATTTTCTCCATCGGTAGCTGTAATTCTCAGACTGTGAAATGACACCTTTGCACCTAAGCCATCCATTAGCGGCTGCTTTAATGACAATACCCCAGAGTTGGGGTGTAAGCTAAACAAATCTAGTTCATTGCCAGCTTCAATCTGATAGCGGACCAACTGAAGTTCGTCAGCATCGATCGCAGACACAGTAGTTATTTGCTCTCCCACACCAAGATCCCTGGGAATGGTCCCTTCACAATTGATTTTCTCAAACAAGGGTGTGTTGTCATTCAAGTTATTGAGAGTAAGTGTGGCGAGCACTTCAACTTCCCGGCGGTATGGCAAGCCCCAGTCTGACGCTCGAATCCTCAGAGTATAAACCCGGGGCATGAGCTCATAGTCCAAGTTTTCTGAAGTACTCACTGCACCAGTGAAATGGTTGATCACGAACGGCACATGGTTTAGATTTGCAATACTATAGGTCACGTAGCCATTCTCACCCTCGTCAGGGTCCACAGCACTCACGCTCATGACAGTAGTACCAACGGGCACATTCTCATCAAAAGATGCTTTGTACGCCGTCTGGGTAAATTCAGGGGGATTGGTGTTAGCACTCACGACTTTAACCAAGACTCTAGTAGAGGCTTTTCTGTCGCTTGTTGTGACTTCAAGTTCAAAATGGGCTGCCTGCTGTCTCTTAATTGGTTCTAAAATGGAAATGAGACCAGTGTTGTGATTCAAACTGAATTTAGCTTTTCCAGGTGTACTTTTGAAAACATACCTCAGGTGAGAATAACAAGGCGTAGCTTTCACCATGACCACAGGTGTGTTGGAAGGAGCAAATTCGCTTATTTCTGCTCTGTACACGTCCTTTTCAAACCTGACTGGCCCAGCTTTGAACTGTGGGGAAGTCACATGAATTACTTTTACAGAAGAGAACTGGGGAGGAGTTCCCTTATCTTTAGCCTGGAGCGTCAGATTGTAGCCAAAAGGATGACTGTCCCAATCAATGCCACCAACTGCTTTGATTTTATATTCTTTACTCCCCGGAGAGGACCTCACTGTTCTAAACTGTTGAAGGAGGTCACCTGCCACAATGCTTAAAGAAGCTATGTCCCCATTGGCACCCTGATCACAGTCATCCACTGTGACGATCGCGTACGTTGGGTCCTTGTCCAGTTCTGACGGCGATAACGTCACTGCTGTTATCACGGGAGCACATTCGTTGGCTTGTTCTACATGAACGGTTAGCTTGGCCATGCTGCTGATACCACTGCTACCGTACAGTTTCATTCCCCGGTCCACAGCAAGAATTTCCATCTCATAAAGCATGGTCTCTGCGTAATCAAGTCTACCCGTTAAAACTACTGCCCCACTGGTTGGGTGAATAGCAAACATGTCTGTTCGATCTTTAAAACTGTAGTAAAACTCTCCATTGGTTCCTATGTCTGCATCTGTGGCACTGACTCTTGCAATACTGGTCCTTATGGCTGTGTTTTCAGGTAAAGAAACACTGTATGAGGTGGGTGAGAACAACGGTCTCAAGTCGTTTGTATCCAGCACCTGCACCCTGACCACTGTTCGTGCTTCAGCGTTCGTATTTTTTTCAACTGCTTTGACTATCAAGGTGTAATGGTCTTTCACTTCTCTATTAAGAATAGCTGTATTTCCTCCTTTGGTCCTTATTCTTAGAAAGCAGAAGTCTCCAAGGATATACTCTTCAGCTTTGAATAGGTTTTCATTGTCTCCTGAGACAATTTTGTACCTTAATTCCCACACTGGATTTGTAATGTAAATACCCATCTTTACAGGATGCCCAACGTAGGTTTTAGCGGCAGAGTTTTCGTGCACAGTGACATTGTACTGGAAATGTGTAAACTGCAGGGGAGTCTGCTCAAGTGTTTGGCTTGCATCACTGTCTCCAAAATGTTGGAGGAGGAGGAGCAGAAGCAGAAGAAAGGGCAAATGTCTCCCCATCGCTTAACTCTCAGGAACCTAAAAGAGAAAAAAAGAAGAATCATCACTTTGGGGAAATAAAATAAAAAAGCGTAAACTTATTTCTTAAAGTTTGTCTTAGATCTTACATTTTAAGAAAATATTTTCCATCCATATGGAATATGAACAAAGGCAATGGTTTTCATTTTTTCTGCTTTCCAATATAAGTATCAACACTCTTCTAACATTTCTAGAATTACTGAGTTTCGGAACAATTTTTTATTCATATTTTAACGACTCAAGTTAAAGAACCACGAGTATCAGATGATAGACTATTAGGTGTAACAACTAAATTGTATTCTTATACCTAAATCTTCAAGGCAAATACAAGCAATTGTTAAAAAGGTAGATAATGAACATTGTTACATTTACTTATATACAATAAATTAAGTGCTCAAAAGCTCGCAAACTTAATGCCACTGCCATTATTCTGAGCGTGGGAAGCTTCACACAACAATTCAGAACAACAAAAAACCCTCAACAATGGTTTTCTATGACCTCCCGTAATCACAGCTCGTAATCTCATCTCAAAATTTATCCTGAAATTAAGTTATTTCTTTGTAAGAATGATTAAGTTCACTCCCTACATAATGTAAGGGTTTACTGCCTCATTTAGCACTATATAACTATTAAAGGTATTAAAATAATTATATCATCAAGTTTGACACTGAGGTCATTTCTGAAGCACCAACGTGAGCCAAAAAAAAGTCAGTTCACAAAGGGGAAACCAGCAGCTTGATATTAAAAGAGAACTTTTTCTCTCTAAGCCAGTGGAGCAAGTCTCATGGGCCACACCAATGTTTTAGCACCACTGCTGTCAACAACCAGTGCTCAGAGTGCCTACGTCTTCAGGGCACTGAACAATCTGTCACCCGAACGCAAGTCACACACACACGCACTTCACAATGCTACATCCGTTCCAGCAACATACATAGACGCCAATCAAGGCACAAGGTGGCAGGCACTGTGGGAGGGTCAGAGGGGGAAAGAGGACATTTGAGATGGGGCTGCCTTCAACAAGTGGGAAGGTGGGCAGTCCACTGGGCTGAGGCCTGGCAGGGGAGCAGGACCATTATTTTCAGACCAAGGGTTCCTCTAAATGCCAACAAATTCCCCTTGTAAATCCGTGGATCTCCACAAAACATCCCAGCGCCGGCCATCAGCAGAGGACAGCAGTGGACCCTTGGCTAAGTGGCTCTCAAATGGACATTCATGAAATGTGAATGCTACCAAAGGTGAAAGAAACAGCACACCCGAGGCTGGTTCAACAGCCAGGCTGAAATTAGCATGGCCACACTAATTTACAGAATCTTAACACAGCTACTGCCAACTTTGCCCCATTAGCCATTTCATGAGGGGGAAAAAAAACAAAAGCCCTGATATGCTGAAAGCAATTAGAAGCTTAATTGATACTGAATCACGTTCATGTTGGGCACCCTAACTTGAACTTTAAGCAATCATGCCTTCTCCTCAGCAGATAAAGTCAGGAAATTAGACAGATTTTTGGCCTCCAGGAGAACAATTATCATTTAAACAAAATAAGGCGACAATCTTTTCCTAAAACTCTCTCTTAATTTGGTCAACAGTTCTAATACTCAGGGAAATTTGAATATTATGTAATGATCCAGAAATTTTGTCACAACAAGTGAAACTTCCACTCAATTTAACCTACAGGCATTGAGAACCTGCTATCGGACAGACAGTGCTCGGGGCATGGAGGTAAAGACTGTTTCTAAAAGACAAAGTTCCCAATCCCAAGAATCTTACCAACTAGGAATAAAAAATACGTATACAGAAAACGCTCTAAAGGACACTTAAAAAGATGATGTTAAACAAGCACTCTTTCATTTAAGGAGACACATTATTATTATTCACTTTATTAGAAAGTATTATATCAGGATTCTATTGCAAGCAAATAAAATATTTTCGCTTTAATTCTACATATAAAATCTTACGCAGCCATTAAAAAGACTAAGACAGCTCTCCATACGTTAATATGTAAAGATGTCCAGGTATATTAACTGGAAAAACTAAACTGGTCCCATTTATGGTTGTAAAAAAGGGAAAGGAGATAAATTATGTGCATGGTTCATGGAGGTGCTTAAAAATGGACGGAAAAATCCTGGACAGATAAAAAATAAACTGTTAAGAGCAGTAACTTCTGGAGAATAGGCAGCTGAGGGAATGTTTATATTTTCACTTTTCTATATGAATTTTTTAGCCTAAGTACATGTTATCTTTATCATCCATTCACTCTCTTCATCAATTACATGATTCATTCAACGAATGTTTAATAAGCACCTACTATGCGTCAGGAGCAGTTCTGGATGCTGGGGTTACAAATGTGGACCAAGCTACCAACAAACCCTCATGGAAGATATGTTTCCTGGGGAGACAAACAAGTAAACAGAGGGTTTCAGATGCTGATGATTAAGTGCTAAGGAGAAAAAGAAAGGGGCAAGAGAGGCCCTGGTCAGGAACCTGAATTTGAGAAAAAGAGACCCCGATATTCAAAAGAACCTCAGCTCTACTGACACTTTGGGCAGATAATTCTTGATTTGGGGCTGGGGGGTGGAGACCTGCCCTGGGAACTGTAAAATGTTTCGTATTATTCCTGGTCTCCACCCACTAAAATCTCCTCCCCCAGTTAAAAATGTCACCAGATCCTGCCAAATGTCCCCTGGGGCTCAAAATCCCCTCCAGTAGAGAAGCACCAGGTAGAGACTCACCAGAGACCAGTGTGGGGCACAGTGGGTGAGGGGAGGGCAGTGAGGGAGATTTTTTCTTAACAAACTCTTAATTTTAGAATAGTTTTAGAGTCACAGAAAAGTTAAAGATAGTCTCCCGTACTGTCAATATCTCACATCACGGTACATTTGTCACAACTGGTGAACTGACATGGATACACTGTTATTCACTATTTAAGTCCCAATGCCCTTTCTTCTGTCCCAGGATCCCATCCATCCAACACCACCATATTACATTTACTCATCACATCTCCTTAGTGGCCCTCGGACTGGAACAGTTTCTCTGATTTTCCTTGTTTTGAGAAGGACTGGGCAGGTACTTTGTAGAATGCCCATCAACTGGAACTTGTCTGATGTTTTTCGCATGATGAGCCCGGGGCAGTGTGTCACGGGGGTGGGGGGAAGATCACAGAGGTGACATGCCATTTTCATCGCATCCTATCAACGTGACGGATGGCTGCTGAGGCTGACCTTGCTGACTCGATGAAGCAGAGCGTGTCGGGGTGCTCCACTGCGCAGCTACTCTTTGCCCCGCCCTCTGCACTGTACTCTTTGGAATGAAGTCACCATGCGCAGCCCGCACTTAAGGAGTGGAGAGAGATGCTACATGAATGACTTCGAATTCTTCTAGAAGGGAGATTTGTCTATTCTCTCCTATTTCTGGGATTTATTCAATCACTTCTTTAGATCAGTATGGACTCGACGAACAGCTGTTTTTAGGATTTTGAATTTTACTGCAGATAAAATGAGAAACCACTTGAGGATTCTGACCAGGGGAGTGACACGCTCTTACGTAAAGTGAAAAGGGTCACGCCAGGACCTGTGTTGAGAAGTCAGCGTGGCCAGGGCAGAGTTGGGGGGAGACCAGGTGGAAGGCGACTGCAATAGCAGAGGGGAGCCCAAAAATGTAATGGGGTGAGGGGAGGGGAGTGATGAAATGCTGGACGGACTTCAGGATTTGCTGATGAGTTGGAGGGGGGAGGGGGGAGAGAGAGACGTAGCAAAGAAGATTCCAACGACTGTGTGCTGAGCAAGAAGAACTAAGCTGTGAGGTACTGAGAGGGAAGACAGAGGAGGAACAAGTGAGGCAGGAAGAGCAGGAGTCCGGCTTTGGACAAGTTAAGGGGGAAGTGCCTGCTGTTATCCAAGGAAGGATTTCAAGCGGGCAACCAGATGTGTGGTGGTCCAGCCTGAAGACACGAATGTGAGAGCTGCCAGAGTATAGAAGATGCTATTTTAAACCATGAAACTGATGGGATCACCAATGGAGAGCACAGAGTAGAAAAGAAAACCAAGGACTGAGGACCCCGTTGCTCCCCAAGATTTAGAGGACAGAAGAGGAGACGAACCAGCAAACGGACAGAGCAGCCACTGCAGGAGAAGTGAGAAACAGCGGTGGGACAAAGACAAGACAAGTCAATCTTTTTGTACATTTCAAGCCCAACTTTAGAACTCGGCAGTGACGCCTACATGCTGGCCGGCGCCATGCTGCTCGCACCACCACTGCTGAAAGACCCTGGACACTCACCTCACCCCCAGGTCACAAGGATAGGCCCAACCTGTCAAGTCACTGCAGCTGCTCATCCCCATGGCATCTCAGCCACTCGGTCCGACCACAGCCTCCGGCACCACCCACTTCTCTCTCACGACTGGATTCCCAAACACCTGGATCACCTTTCCAACTCACCCACCACAGTTCTTCTGGGACACATGGCAGCAGGAATAAACCTTCTGCATCACATTCATAACCAAGTCCTTTTAAAACCCTGAACTTACTCTGCCAACTTGGCTAGCAGAATGCCACTATAATAAGAATAAATTATTAAATGCAACTCTTTTTTCCTTTTTTTAACAGCCATTGAAATTTTCCTTTTCTTTTTTTTGCAGGCAAGGATTCACCCTGAGCTAACATCTGTTGCCAATCTTCCTCTTCTTTTTTTCTCCCCAAAGCCCCCCAGTGCATGGTTGTATGTCCTAGCTGTAGGTCCTTCTAGTTCTTCTGTATCTGCCGCCACAGCATGGCAACTGACAGATGGGCGGTGTGGTTCCATGACCAGGAAACGAACTCAGGCCGCCAAAGCAGTGAGAGCATTGAACTTTAACAACTGGACCATCAGGGCTGGCTCTAAACCCAACTCTTTCGATTAGAAAAAAATCCACCTTTTAGGAGACATTACCTTACAGTAACGTAACCAAGAACTGTGAACTCGGGCTTCACGATAAAATGCCATGATCAAAACACCATGGCTGTCA